TTTCCGCTCCACACGTTGAACTAACTGCTTCTTAGCATTCCACTCGTTCTGAACCGACAGTCACGCTAGCATTGACTCAGCCATTGTTGTGCTCTGCTATTTGAAGTTCCGCTTCATTGTTCCAGAAGTATCTGCCCTTTTTTTTAGATGTCTCTGGCTATCGCTCGGGACTCTGGAAGGTAAAAATGTGCACGCCGAATCAGGTAGCCCGTAGATATGGCACCAGTCTGTCCAGGTGCACCACCGTCATCTTCTCCGGTTTCGTCAGACCACGTCGTTGATCCGGTGGTCGTTTTGTGTAGGCGCTAACTGCTTGACGGTTGCTGCAGACTCAGGTAGTGATTCGCCGCTCAGCTGGATCCTGGCCTTGGGTGGAGACCGGTAGGCCGCCACCAGTTGTTGGTCTCCGTCACGGCCCTCCAGAGCCCAGGCGGTATCTTCGTAAGCCGTTACCGCCGGGACGCTGCTGGATATTCGCACCTTGCCCCTTCTCCGGATTTCCTGGCGGGTGGAATGCAGACACACACGAGCGGTTTCGCCTTCTCTGCGCTTGTCCGTACGTTCTCACCGCCTCCGTATCTGCTGCTATCAGCCGCGTCTCGACCTCCGGATGTGCCGCTCGCTTCTAGGTCGTATCGAGTCGCTTCTGTGTCTGGTCGAACTTCGACGTCTTGTTTTGCCACTCCGATGCCCCCTCGTCCGACCCGTACTCGCTGTACCGCTGCTCCAGCCCGCTCGGTCGTGCCGAATTAGGCACGGTTCACATTACGCGATTTGCGCCGCGCGGTTGTTTTTACCATAGATGGCTCATTAAGTGTTCACATTCAACCGCGCGGTTGTGTTACCATGAGTTCAAATGCAGGCGTTCAGTTGCCCGCGCGGTTCGACCCATGAAGCACGTGTAAAATGAATAAAGTACGAGACATACAGCCTCCTCAACGTCCGTGGTGAATCTGGCTGCAGCGTCGCCAACACTGAACACTATCATTGAACCGCGCGGCGCAAACCGCGTAATGTGAACCGTGCCTTAGAGGCTTTGTTTTGTAGTGATGCTAACTGAGATAAAGTAATCAGCGAATTATTTCTGTCGCTCTGGGGTTTAGTAGTTGCTTTTTTAAACGTGACTGTAGCAAGCAGAGACGTCGCTGTATAGTGCACAAAATGAGAGAA